ACTGTTGTTACCAGTCAAAGTAACAGTGATAACCTGACTGTTGTTACCAGTCAAAGTAACAGTGATAACCCTACTGTTGTTACCAGTCAAAGTAACAGTGATAACATGACTGTTGTTACCAAAGTAACAGTGATAACCCTACTGTTGTTACCAGTCAAAGTAACAGTGATAACCCTACTGTTGTTACCAGTCAAAGTAACAGTGATAACCCTACTGTTGTTACCAGTCAAAGTAACAGTGATAACCTGACTGTTGTTACCAGTCAAAGTAACAGTGATAACCCTACTGTTGTTACAAGTCAAAGTAACAGTGATAACCTTACTGTTGTTACCAGTCAAAGTAACAGTGATAACCCTACTGTTGTTACAAGTCAAAGTAACAGTGATAACCCTACTGTTGTTACAAGTCAAAGTAACAGTGATAACATGACTGTTGTTACCAAAGTAACAGTGATAACCCTACTGTTGTTACCAGTCAAAGTAAAAGTGATAACCCTACTGTTGTTACCAGTCAAAGTAACAGTGATAACCCTACTGTTGTTACCAGTCAAAGTAACAGTGATAACCTTACTGTTGTTACCAGTCAAAGTAACAGTGATAACCCTACTGTTGTTACAAGTCAAAGTAACAGTGATAACCTGACTGTTGTTACCAGTCAAAGTAACTGATAACCTGACTGCTGTTACCAGTCAAAGTAACAGTGATAACCCTACTGTTGTTACCAGTCAAATTAACAGTGATAACCCTACTGTTATTACCAGTCAAAGTAACAGTGATAACCCTACTGTTGTTACCAGTCAAAGTAACTGATAACCTTATTGTTGTTACCAGTCAAAGTAACAGTAATAACCCTACTGTTGTTACCAGTCAAAGTAACAGTGATAACCCTACTGTTGTTACCAGTCAAAGTAACAGTGATAACCTTACTGTTGTTACCAGTCAAAGTAACAGTGATAACCCTACTGTTGTTACCAGTCAAAGTAACAGTGATAACCCTACTGTTGTTACCAGTCAAAGTAACAGTGATAACCTTACTGTTGTTACCAGTCAAAGTAACAGTAATAACCCTACTGTTGTTACCAGTCAAAGTAACAGTGATAACCCTACTGTTGTTACCAGTCAAAGTAACAGTGATAACCCTACTGTTGTTACCAAAGTAACAGTGATAACCTTACTGTTGCTACCAGTCAAAGTAACAGTGATAACCCTACTGTTGTTACCAAAGTAACAGTGATAACCTTACTGTTGCTACCAGTCAAAGTAACAGTAATAACCCTACTGTTGTTACCAGTCAAAGTAACAGTGATAACCCTACTGTTGTTACCAGTCAAAGTAACAGTGATAACCCTACTGTTGTTACCAAAGTAACAGTGATAACCTTACTGTTGCTACCAGTCAAAGTAACAGTGATAACCCTACTGTTGTTACCAAAGTAACAGTGATAACCTTACTGTTGCTACCAGTCAAAGTAACAGTGATAACCTTACTGTTGCTACCAGTCAAAGTAACAGTGATAACCCTACTGTTGTTACCAGTCATCTTACACTCACCAGGTGTGATCCAACTCCCCCTGGATCAAGAGCCCTTTTAGGGGGGTGTAACACATTTATCATACAATATGAAGAGAACATAAACACACACAGTTTGAAGGAGAGGTATGGCAGAGCCTGCCAGGCAGGAGCCGAGACTCGACCCTCCTCCCTCATCTACAACTAGGAGAGTACAAATGTAAGTGAAGACAGAGGGGGTTTGAATCCAAGGTCAAACATATGCTAGTCTTCTGTGTGCTTGCCTAAATGCATATGCGGGGGTCGAACCCTGGCTCCTGGCACCACCACTTAAACTTGGTAGTTTGGTGTTACTGGATACCTCTCTTCTCATATATAATATATTTATATAATAATATATATATTATATATATATATATATATATAATATATATATATATATATATATATATATATATATATATATATATATATATATATATATATATATATATATATATATATATATATATATATATATATATATAATATATGCAATAAGATCACAGTAAACAGGTGATTTCAAAATATGCAAAACAACCACTCTGAAAGAATAGAGAAATTCCAAGCGCTTTCGTGACTACTCACATTATCAAGGAACTATGAAAGTGAAGATTCCAAGGAAGCTATATAAGGGGGTCCGGCCAGCACCTCACTATCAGATCCCACAACGGTTAAACACGTGACGCGCGGCGAGCCAACTTGGATAGGTCCTTTGCAAAACTCACCCCCAAGCTATTTATTTGTCCAGTGTATTATTAAATTCTTCCCAAATTCTATTAATTATAAATGGATCTAATTTATATAAACCAAAGGAAATATTCATATTATTGTCAAAACTGCTTTTTATGAAACAAGATTCAATTATATTCCTGTCGACCATGGACTTGCTTGATACTACTTTCTCAACTTTTTGAAAATCAATTGGATGGTTAAAATCTCTTACATGAATAA